AAGAAAAAATGTTAAAGTTTGAATAAAACAACAGTAAAGTGTGTAATAAGTGTTTTAATGAAGGTTTAATTTATTAAGTAGCATCATGTCATTTAATTCGAAGTATACATCACTATATATAAGAAATGGAGATAGAGGTAAAGTTGGTTTTATATTTATACATTCAGACTTTCCCCTTAATAATATAATTTCTTTAAAGTATTATTTGCAAACTCTAAATAGCGAAATCATATTAGCACTCAATGACTATCAAAGTACAACATTGGTCACAGTCAAATAAACAGTGTTAATGTTGTTTTCAAGCCACACTTGCATGCTAATTCCTTTCGAATATTCAAAGTAACATGGTAAACAATACAGAGACTTCTAAATGAACGAACGTGTGAATATAAAACCAACTTTATCTCTATGAAATGGAGTACTAGGTTTCATCAGCTCATTTGTGGCTTTTGTTTCTTGCTCAGACTTAACTGATTTCTTTTTGGTAATCACTCTATAATTAAATAAATAAACGGTTGAAGCAAGTGTTGAAGAGAAGTTATTTTGTTTCTGTTCATTGTTTTATTTATTTTAAACAGGATAAAGTGTCCAAACACAGAGAAAAACTCCTGCTGAAGCGACTGATCTCCACACTGTTATAAAGATGGCGTTTATTAAAGAGGAGAGTGAAGATGTGAAGATTGAAGAAACATTCACAGTCAAACAGGAAGATCCACAGGAACAAACAGGTTGGTTTTTATTCTCAAAGACCAACTCAGTCATTTGATCCTCATTCAGATATTTTAACTCATTGAAAGACAGGAACTAGTTTCATTGTCACTTGTTCTCATGTCTTTTGTCATTGTTTTATGTATTATTAGTCTCCCATTTCTCTACCTTCTTAAGGTTATTGCTTTTCTTGTTCTCCTACTGTTTGTAAAGCGTCCTTGAGCGCTGGCACTATATAAAATACATAAAAACAATAAATTAAAAAAGTTGAACTGAGCTGACAATATTTGACCCACAGTATTCTCATAAAAGATATCTGCTATTACAGTGATAGTGTTGGCTTAGTACTTTCCACTTGCATATGTCACATTGATCACAATTCCCCTTTTTTAATTAACCTTTTGGGATTAAACTTGTTTCTAGTAGTTGTTACTAGTTCTCACAGATAGTATCTGAATTAGAATTACAACATTTTTATAATAACTAATTTCCAGGGCTATTTTGTTTAAACAGGGTTTCCACAGGGTCTTAAATTGTCTTAAATTCCAAAATCTAAATTTTAGGCCTTAAAAAGTCCTAAATTTACTGAAATATTGTGTTGTAGGTTTTAAAATCTTTTTTTAAAAGTCTTTATTTTTCTTTGTTCATATTTTGCTACCCTGTCTGGCCAAAACCCATACGATCACCAACAATCCATCTCAATAAAACTTTCAACTTTTTTGTTCAAAAAGGTCATTTTAACTCCTATTTATCATAATGGTGTAATTATTTTCCTTACAATATCATTTGTTTAAACGTGCTCCATGTATTTACTGCTGAGGACATCGACCTGGACCGATTGTTGTGCATAGATTTGGTTAATTATAGTTTTTAAAACATTTATTTATTATTATATTTTTTTTATTTTAAAGAAAGTTTATTTTGGAAAAAAAAAGTGTGTGGATACAAGTAAAGCTTGCTTTTTTACACATTTAAAATCTTTTGCTAAGAAATATCCAAAAAAAGAATATTTTTTTTATTCTAATATTTTTTTTGATAGGACAAATACAAAATCTGGGCCATTTGAAAAACCCTGGTTTAAAGTATGTCAGAAAACATGTATGCCCCAATTTTAAACATGCTGAATGAAATTGACTCTAAAATAATTAATCATTATAAAACATTGTACAGTATTCTGAACTATATGATGTTGTGGGGCGACGTGAGACAAAACAAACAAATAATAGTGGAACAATAACGTTTAGCAATACCAGTGGTGGATTTAGGCATGGGTAATGTGGGCGATCGCCCAGGGTGGGATTTTCCTGGGGGTGGCAAAAAAAAAAAGTCCCCTAGTGAAAGCATTTATATACGATTACTTTATGCAAATGTATTCATTAAGAGTGGCAATCTCAAAATAAAGACATTAGGGGCCATTTACATTTGGCATTTTTTGCGAGTTTGTTATTCTCAATGTGCAACTGAAACATCGCTTGTGAAAGCAAACTGATGCATGCGTACAGAAAACCAGCAACTCACACATGCTCCTGTGTGAATCCCGGTTGTTTGCATTCACGCCAAAAAGTTAAGCGTCGCTCATGCGCCATGAAACCGAATTAACAGCCTTTTGTGCAGAAGTGTCGGCACACAGCGAGTTTTGCATAGTTTATGTAAAGTTCATGTAATTTGATGATGGTGTTACTTTCACTCAGCATGGCTATAAAGCAGAAAGGAGGGATAAAGAGTCAGGGAGGTAGGACAGGTCTAAAGGTCTAAGACAAAAGATAATTTGGTAACACTTTACAATAACTACACACTTCCATACTTTGTTAAGGATTAATTTCCTATTACTAAATTATTTATGGGGAGTGAAGCGCAATGTTCATGATAAGTGGGGGCAGAGCGGGCCAGAATCACGGTGGCAGCAGATCAGATGACTGTCAGACCAAGGGGAAATGTCCCTATGTCTACCTATGGCCAGTTCGCCCTTGAGTTTTACTGTTTTCTATTGTTTATTATTCCTGGTCATTTCTCCAATAATTGTAAGTTCTAAAACAATAACATATGAGATCAGGTCACTGCTATGATATGATTGACAATTTATGTATGTCACTGTTTGTCATTGTGCTCTGTTTATTCTGAGAGCTGAGGCTGAGTATTTGTAGAGCTTTTAACTCTTGAAATTATTAACTCCGCGTCATTCTAACACTGAAGAAACAGAATCCTGTGTTATCTGTAATCTCCTTTCACACTGTTCATGCTATACCTGATGTTCATTAACAGACGTTTCACATTCGCAAACGTTTTGGTTCGCAAACGGTGTTCCAGAATAACATTGTTATTTGTATATTTATGTTTTTCAATGTTCCTGACTGGACAAACAGCAGGTCATCTTTTTAGATGGCATTTCTTGTCGGGTTAACAATATCTGCAAATCAGGAGAAATACCATCCTTTTAGAAAGTAGCTATTATTATACCAATACCTAAACCAGGAAAAGATTATTTAAATAATTATCGTCCAATAGCACTTACCAGTTGCCTTTGCAAAACAATGGAACGAAAAAAAAACAGAAGTATATCATTAATAAATATTATTGTGGGTTTAGAAGAGGGAAAAGTACTCTTTGCCATCTTATACGATTAGAATCTTTTGTACGAGATGGTTTTATTAAAAAAGAACACATATAAGCAGTTTTTTTTTTTTTTTAATCCGGAAAAGGCCTTTGACACTACCAGGAAGTATGGTATTTTAAAACATTTACACCAGATGGGTGTTTGAGGAAATTTGCCTAATTTTATTGCAATTTTTTTTTTTATTCAATAGAGTTTTTCGTGTGCGTATGAAAACTATATTATCTGAATATATGAGCATATATAGCATATATGAGAATCAGGAGTGCCCCAAGAAAGTATACTATCAGTAACACTATTTAGTATTAAAATTAATAATATTGTAAATGTTAATGGGAATAATATATTTTGTAGTTTATATGTAGATGATTTATGTATTTGTTATAAAGGGAAAAAATATGTATACAATCAAGAGACAAATTTAAATATGTATAAATAAAATATATGACTGGTCAGTTTTAAATGTTTTTTTAATTTTTCTAAATAAAAAAAAAACTGTATACATGCATTTTTGTTTTTTAAAGGTCTAAGCATTTAGATCAGGATTTTTTTTACATAGAGAAACTATACAAGTTGTGAAAAAGGTAAAGTTCCTAGGAATGAGTTTTGACAATAAGTAGTCTTTTATTCCTCATATTAAAGTATTACGAAATAGATGTTTTAAAACAATTAATGTATGAACTTAATCTTAGAAAAGTAAAATAAATAAATAAATTAGGACCTCTGTAATGAAATCCAAGACTTTGTATAATAATTAAAGGCTATTAAAGCCTTAATTTAAGATTATCAAATTTAAGACTTTTTCAATGCTTTTAATTGTACTCTGATTAGGTTTTGCATATAAATACTTGCGCTTGACACATTTGTTTCAGACTGTTATTGGCCTATTACATTCTAAATGATGTAAATTCTAGTACATCATTTTTTAACGGTACCTTTAGAACCTTATAACAGCACTAAAAGCAGCATCGAAGCAGTCTCCTTTTAGTCATTCCACCTCTTCATGGAGATTGTCAGACTGATCTGGTGTATTAAAAAACTATTTTGGGTTCTGGAACTGAACAATAATGGTGTTCATGATGCTGGACATTCACTGGCACTAGATCCTCATAAATTTAGGAGTAAATCTTCCTTCTTTGCCATCCTCTGATGCGTTTAGGTTTCGCCGCAAAATTAAATTTTGCTGTAGAACGCGCAATGCGGACGTAAAGAACCTGACTGATATTCTACCGGAACCATGTCAGCAGAGTTTGTGCATAGTCCATAAACTATAACTTCTATGTTAAGCGACTTTGAAACAATTTACTTTGTAAAAGCACTAGATAAATAAAGATTAATTGAATTGAATCTGCTTAAATATGTACACGTTAATGGACACATCATAATCTGATTTATTTTACAATTACTGTGCATCAAAATTACAGTGTGTGTAGCCAATGTTTCCAGTGTCTTTTCACTTTTCAGCTTTTGATGAGAGTTTTTAAAACTTGATAACAACTAGTGTTTTTTTTCAGACCTAATTGAAGAGAATGAGGAGAGTAAAGAGGAGGAACATCATGTTAAAATTGAGGAAAAAACTCATTTACAGACTGATGATATTTTGAAAAGGAGAGACAAGAATCAATTCACCTGCACTCAGTGTGGAAAGTGTTTTGGAAGAAAAGACAATCTTAAGATTCACATGAGGATCCACACTGGAGAGAAACCATTCACATGCGCTCAGTGTGGGAAGAGTTTTAACTGCTCAGCAAACCTTTATAAACACATGAGGATCCACACTGGAGAGAAACCATTCACATGCAATCAGTGTGGGAAGAGTTTCAGCCAAAAATCAAACCTTAATCTACACATGAGGATCCACACTAGAAAGAAACCATTCAAATGCACTCAATGTGGGAAGAGTTTCAACCGCTCATCAGACCTTTATAAACACATGAGAATCCACACTGGAGAGAAATCATTCAAATGCACTCAATGTGGGAAAAGTTTTAACCGCTCATCAAACCTTCATCAACATATGAGGATTCACACTGTAGAGAAACCATTCACATGCACTCAGTGTGGGAAGAGTTTCAACTTTTCATCGAACCTTTATCGACACATGATGATCCACACTGGAGAGAAACCATTTACATGCACTCAGTGTGGGAAGAGTTTCAACCACTTATCATCCCTTAATCAACACATGATGATCCACACTGGAGAGAAACCATTCAAATGCACTCAATGTGGGAAAAGTTTCAACCGCTCATCAGACCTTTATAAACACATGAGAATCCACACTGGAGAGAAACCATTCACATGCATTCAGTGTGGGAAGAGTTTTAACTTTTCATCAAACCTTTATCGACACATGATGATCCACACCGGAGAGAAACCATTCAAATGCACTCAATGTGGGAAAAGTTTCAACCGCTCATCAGACCTTTGTAAACACATGAGAATCCACACTGGAGAGAAACCATTCACATGCACTCAGTGTGGGAAGAGTTTTAACTTTTCATCAAACCTTAATCGACACATGAGGATCCACACTGGAGAGAAACCATTCACATGCACTCAGTGTGGGAAGAGTTTCAGCCAATCATCACACCTTAATCAACACATGATGAGCCACACTGGAGAGAAACCATTCATGTCTAATCATCTTCTTTAATCCCACCCCTTTTCGCAGTGGCGTACAACAGAATTTCGCATACTCAATAGTGATGGGAAGTTCGGATCATTTTACTGACTCGGATCTTTGAGTCTCGTTCATCGAGATGAACAAATCTTTTTTCGAGTCATTTCGTTCATTTGGTTAAATTTGCCAAAATATTATTAAAATGTTACGAATTGCTTCCAAACACATCTACAACTAGCCCAGAAGGCTCATCACACAACAAATAAGTCATAAATAGATTATAAGAAGAAGAAAATAACAATTCAATGTTTACCTGCTCTTTTGTCTATGGGTATTGTTGTCTGTTTGCTCAGCTCACCTCTTCATGTCTTCAAATGTCAGTGGTGCGTTTACGTTACAATGACAATCACATACAATCTTAACCAATGTCCCCATTTTGAGCCAATAGGAGCCATGATAATTAGTTCACCTTTCGAGTCTTCTGGTTCTTGAGTCGTTCGTTCATCACGTGACAGAATAACTCAAACCCGAGGACTCGAGAGTTGAATAGATTAATTCTTTTTTTTTTTTGGCTCTAAACGCATATGATTGGCCCGTGATGAACGAATGATTCAAACCCGAAGACTCGAGAGGTGAACAGATCAATTCTTTTTCTGGCTCTAAATGCATATGTTTGGCTGTAGTCTTTCATGCGGTGAACGAACGACTCGATAGAGGACTCGAAAAATGTACTGATCTTGTCTCGCACTACACAACGTGCACATGAGCGAATTAATGAATCTTTTAGTTAATCCGAGTCATTCATTCATTTTGTCACATAACATGAAAGAAAGCATAAGAGATGAGTTATTTAATAAATCAAATAGTCTTTGTGAATATTTTTGTAACATATGATGCTGCAAGGATTAGACACTTAAACACTGTTTAATTGTTGTTTATTGTTTTATTATTATTATTATTATTTTACCAGAAAAGCTTTTATAACAAATCAGATTACTTTATAAATCACGACAATAAGATAAGCAAAAGAAAAACAAAATAGTGCACATCAAGCTAGGCTTTTTAATAAATAAAAACAAGTAAGCTTTAAATTAAATAACGTGTTTGTGCCATAAAATCTTTATATGAAATATGGCAACTCTTCCCAGTAGATTTTTTTATGAAACAGCAATTTAAGTGAAAGATATTATAAATAAAAAACAAAAGCCACAGGGCCTAATGAGCTTAACAGCTTGACTTGAGAACAGAACAGTGCATTTAAAAAAAAAAATTAAATTAAATAAGCTTTAAAACAACATTGTGTGGCTTTACTTGTTGGACTTGGCTTAAGGTTTGTTAGCATTTAAAACACAAGCTCTGAACCTTTGATAGGCTGAGTCTGTTTCTTCTTTTGTCATTAGTTGTTGTCGCAGGATAAAAGATGCTAAATGAGTAAATGCAAATGCAAACTTTCTTTATACAAATATTAGACCAATACATAAAGTCTGCATAGAAAAACATTATTAAACAAAAATGGGGTATAAATGAACAAATTACAAATCACTTGTAATTGTAGAATTTAATTAATCTATCGCCTAGCTTAGTGTTTGTTTTCTGATAGCAAGCCAGCAAATAGACAAATCAATATATATATATATATATATATACTAGATATAAACCACATATCCAGTAGAAAAAAAAGTAAGAATAACTTAGTGACAATAGGACAGAACTTTTTAAAATTCTTACAAAATGCTTTTTAGGTACACATTGTTTGATGATTTTATGAAAAGTTTAAAATATAATCATATGATGCAACAAAAATTCAGTTTTACATAAATATTATTGACTGAGGTTCTCGTTGCAGTGTACAGGAGAACTACAGTTTAAGAATAGAAATGCACATAATAGTGTAAGGATGGCTAAATCTCTCCATATTATTAAAATCTGCAAACTGTTGTGGAACTCCACACGAGACAAGACCGTGAGAATGGTCAGGCACTAAGACATAAAACTTTGTAATCTGAGAAGAAGATCAGCTAGAAAAGCAGTTGTTCAGGTTGTATCGATCGTGCATCCTGAGCCCCCCTCTTTGCCCTGGACTTTACCTTCTCCACCAGAGCAGCTCACTCACATTCCACACCGAATGTTTAAGTTTTTAATATGGTGTATCTTGGGGCTTTTTATTCATGTTTGGTGTGATTTTAAATGTCTCTGTGTGATTGGTAAAGTGGTCTTAATTTCACTGTAATATTTTACAATCTCCTTTATATCAGTTATTTGGGTTTTGACTTTGAAAATATTTTTGACAGATGCTCCACTTCAGGGAAAATGGTCTTCGCATCAACTCATGACCAGGCAAGAGTCTTGGTGAAGCTTTTATTGTCTTGAATTTATGATGATTTGTATTTAGGCAAAGGGTGCAGAAGTGTCCGTGTGATCCTGTAGACAGGATACCCCATTGCAGATTGTGAGTCTCTGAGTTCTGCATCAGGACTTATATGCTGCAATGTATTTCTTCATGGTCAGGTATTCCTCTTTAACTCTTAAATGTATATTTGAGTAAATTATGTTGTACAATCTTGATTGGCTTATTTTGTTTAATTATGTGAACTGCAATGGAAAATCTTTTCCTGACAAATAAATGTAAAATTCTTGTTTAACTCTAATATCTCCTGAAATCATTTAAATGTAGTAGATTGTTTAGGCTGACGTTTCCGCAGCCTACAACCAGGATTAGTCATCTATTTAGGCACAATGGATGAAGCATGGGCACAGAATTAGAGACTTGTTGATTTCTGACAATCACTGATAATATAATCTAGGGGTATGATATCATGTAGGGGCTAAATCAAACTTTCTTTGAGTATGTGCAAGCATGGGGTGGCCTATTATTACTTAAAGGAAATTAGCTTATCTGCTAAGAATCGGAACTGGCGAGGATGTTTCCGTGTGCAGATGAAACTGGCCAGCCATACTGACTCTAAGCGACTTTGAGTAAACGATGAAACATTAATGGAATATAAGGATTTATTAGGTTAATCAATCTAAATTAGAACTAATCGCGACCTATAAGGTAATCAGCTTGAATTAGATAAATGTAAATCTAAAACTATTATAAATTGGAGTCAGAATAAAATTCAGAGCTAGAAACAAATTAAAATAAATTAAACAAAAATATTTCTTTTCACATGTGCTAAAAGGTTTACATGCATTTAACCTTCACCCATACTGTTAGTTCCGTCATGGGACTAATAGATGGACCCTCACATGTGTGTGTATTTATATAGTTTATAACCATAACAGTTCTACAGTTTCTTCTATTTTACTTGTTGATTTCTATTTTATTTAAATAGTGTATTTATTTTGTTAAAGAGTCCATATTATGGGTTTTTGAAAATGCCCTTCCATGTAGTGTGTAACAGCTCTAAGTGAAGTGAAATATCCAGCTACGGCTTAAATCTGTAAGTGTACAGTGTTTAAAACTGTTTATTCATCTATAAAAGAGTCGACTCATAGTGCTTCAAATGAGTCGTCTTGATAACGAGTCATTAGGTGTTTTGTGATGACATATCTACGTAACACAAATAGTTGCGTGCGCAAACCCAAGAGATTTGAAACCTGCGGCCTCGCCCACTAACACAAAAAAACAGCCACACACACGCGCGCCGGTTGAATGTGACGTCACACTGTGCATATGGATATTATTGAGTCTCTACCCAAAGATGAAACCTCAGCATTAGCCCAGCCTTGAGCAGTTTAAGTGCTTCTGGAAACCACATGCTTTAGACTGGGTGTATATTACATGCTTAATAATCAATTTTTAGACTGTGTTTGTGTGTGTGTGTGTGTGTGTGTGTGTGTGTGTGTGTGTGTGTGTGTGTGTGTGTTTGTGTGTGTGTAGGCCTATTATTATTTAAAATAAAATTTAAAATAAAAATGATTATATTATGTAAAAAATATTATTCTTTATAATTATATCCAGTTCCCCTAAAACTTTGCTTAAATACCATATACATTTATTAAATAAATAAAACCAAAAAGTAAATAACTGTTTGGCCTGACAAGTTTTCAGGACATATCAAATTTCAGCACAACACTAGCTAGTCTCACTCACACACACACACTTGTACACACTCTCACTAACACACTCACTCTTGTACATGCTCTCTCTCACACACACCTACATTCTATCTCGATTCAATTCAGAATGACTTTTTGAGCATGACTGTAAATGATACAATGTTGCCAACACAAACACATCGACATCTCACAGACACATGTACATGCTCTCACTCACAAATATAAGCCCTCCCTTTCGCACACACACTTCTACATGCTTTCTCATAAACATGAACTGGCTCTCTCTCTTACACACACTACTACATGCTGTCTTTGACTCACACACACACACACACACACACACAAACAAATGTGCATTTGATACTTATATAATTTTATGTGCTCATTAGGCTTACGATAGGTGGTTGCATTGTAATTATTTGGTCATGAAGGTATTAATTGTTTTAAATAGTTTTTCAGCTAATAATGTTTGTGATGTCATACATGCTACAAAAGGCTTTTAAAGCTGTCAAGACGTGGAGCAACCATGACCAGAGCGTTCCAGAGAGAAGGTGTCTCTCAAAATGCAGTGGCCCAGCTCGCTGCAATTGCAGAGCTGTACTTTGCGAACAGGGAGCAATTTAACAGAACCAGCTTCACACCAGGAAAATGAACAGAGTTCACTCAAAAGTGTAGAGACCTCATTTTTGGAGATTTTGCATAAAGGTTGTATCAATGAAAAGGAAGGGTTCTTTTGTATGTTTCTTTGTTCAATAATGCTCCGGTTTACTGTTGGTAAAATGTAGAAGCAAAAACCTACAGCACAATAAGCTTAGCTTATAATGCCAAAAATATATATATATTGAAATCAGATGCAAAAACCTTTAAATTCCGACTAAATTCATTAATTTTCTTTTCAGCTTAGTCCCTTTATTAGTCTGGAGTTGCTACAATGGAATAACCCAAGAGCTTA